CGAAAAACGAAGTATGACGTCGACACATTTAGCGCACAGAGTAGAAAATAATCTCAAGCCGGATAGTGCACACATTGATATGACGTCATTGATTATCGAGTAAACATTCAATACAAAGGCAATTTGGTCTAATCTAAGTGGTTTAATGTGTCTAATCTAAAAAGTGGTTTTCTTGCAATTTCTTTAATGCAATTCTTCGCGTAGTGGCTATGCGCGACACCAGTGTTTCTTTCAGACTTTTTCCTCCACGGAGAGGGTACTTGAAATTTTCGGAGGCGGGGGTAGAATTTTCGGGGAGGGGGCGGACACTAGGAAAAAGTATATAATTATATTTCGTTGAATGGGACGGTAGACATGTTTTTTAGGGGGGTGGGGGGGGGGTGGGGGGTGTGTGGGGGGGTGGGGTGGTTTTAATTTAGACTTTTTCCTCCCCGGAGAGGGGTGGGGGTACTTGAAATTTTCGGTGGCGGGGGTAGAATTTTCGGGGAGGGGGCGGGGGAGGGGGCGGACACTGGAAAAATTATATAATTATATTTCGTTGAATGGGACGGTAGACATGTTTTTTTTTTTGGGGGGGGGGGGGTGGGGGGTGGTGTGTGTGGGGGGGGTGGTGTGTGTGGGGGGTGGGGTGGGGGTGGGGTGGTTTTAGTTTAGACTTTTTCCTCCCCGGAGAGGGGTGGGGGGTACTTGAAATTTTCGGGGGCGGGGGTAGAATTTTCGGGGAGGGGGCGGACACTGGAAAAAGTATATAATTATATTTCGTTGAATGGGACGGTATACATGTTTTTTGGGGTGTGGGGGGTGGGGTGTGTGGGGGGTGGGGGGTGTGGGGGTGGTGTGTGTGTGGGTGGGGGGTGGTGTGTGTGGGGTGGGTGGGGGGTGTGGGGGTGTGTGTGGGGGGGTGGTTTTAGTTTAGAGAAAAGAGACAGCACTATCAGCCTAGCGCCCGGTGTATCCTTCCTCAACGGGCCATTTTTCTCGTTATTAGATATTATCCATGTGTGAACTCTACTGCAGCACTAAACTTTACTGCTTGTTTTTTTTGTATCATTTGCTACATTTTTTTTTTCTTTATTTATTGGAATGGATTGTTAAATAAATTACTTCCCAGGCAACTATTAACCAACATAGTTTCTTCCCATGAAAAAAAAAATTAAAAATTCAGTACATACTTTTTCCGACGATGGCGACCAATTTACACACCCAAATCATCACGATGTACACAGATGTTAGATTTGATGTGTATCGTCGACGTGTTCTAACATCACCACCACACATAGTCATCTTCAGTGTAGAATGTTAGCTGTGTGAGGCAACAATGATAAAAAACAAACCTCTAGTCATCTTAATACTGGTTTCATTTACGCAAATTGCGAAATCAAGTTTAATAGTATTGTACCTCAATGAGCTCATTAATTGTATACTCCTTTTGATTTGGTTTTCCGGAAAAATATTGTAAGCGACCTTTGACAAAGTTTTTCGATTTCCGCTGTTAAAAGATGTGTCACAAAAACTACTAATGAAATCAGACGAAGGTTTAAGTGTTAAACCTTCGTCTGATTTCATTATTATAAGCTTTTATTTGCTTCACAAATACCGTTCCTTTTAATGTTTGTGGGTTGTGGATAATATTTTATCTTTATTTAGGCCCTGTTATATGCCGAGATTGTGTTAAAGATTTGTGCGTCTTCATTGACAAATAAAGAATACATATTGCTTAATCTTTCTTATACATAAGTTTTATTATTGAATTTAATATTTACTTAACTTAATTCAATAGTAAACAGTGATAAAAGGATTATGTACTAGCGATCATTCTAACGGCTAAGCAAAGAACTGATTTGTTTACGGCTGAGTGATTATTTGCCTTAGTGTCGACAGTGGACCCATTTTTTCATGACGGATTTATTTCCAAGCGGTTAAAAATTATTTTTACTAAATTTATATTCTCTTACAGAAACTGAATTGTAAGCCTGATGTAGTTTCTACTTTGGACTATGTAACTAATTTGATACAACAGCCACTATTGAAAAAAATAGTTCATAAAGATTAAATATATCGGCATGCATGGAGAACTAGTCTTAATTATACAATTCAGGAAAACTATCGATTTCGTTATTCAGGTAACATCTTTCCCCATTCGTGCCCAAGACACATTAGGCAGACGCTGGTTGTACTTAGAGATATTCAACTAATTTGAACCCGAATTCGAACTCGAGACTTTCGGGTTAGATGCCTAGCTCTCTATCGCTAGGCCACGCCATCGCATATTCAGTTGTAGAGTAGAGTAACATAGCTCAACCGTCCCTTATCATCGTATAACTCTTATGATTCTGAATATTCTGAAGCATTGGTGTCGTGGTTCTACTTCTCTACAGTAACACACTACACACTACATATCAAAGGACTTCCTGAATGTGTATAGCCTTAGTTGTCCGGGTTACGACCTTTTCTTCAACTCTTATTCAAGATCAGCTAATGAAGAAGCATATTTCTCATTTCACTTATGTTTTCTATACACACAAGGGAAAAAATCAACGTATATTTTATTTTCTTCCATGCTCAATGCGACTGCTGTGGGTACTCAGGGCTAAAATGTGGGTACTCAGGGCTAAATCTGTGGGTACTCAGTGTTGAAGCTGTGGAAACTCAGGCCTGAAGCTGTGGGTACTCAGTGTCATTGCTCGAGTTCGAATCCGGGTTCAAGTTAGTAGAATGTCCCTGAGTCAATCCAGCTCTGTTGGGTACATAACTCAAGTCAGTAAAAGCATAAGCGGCTGGGCAAAAAGCACTGACTACGCTATCGCTTCATATGACTCTGTCTCTCTGAAGTAGATGAAATCTACATGGGCAAAAACGGGAAACGATCATGATGATTTATTAACAAAGATTATGTTTTTAGTCTCAATTATTTGTATAGATAGCATGTACATTTTTATTTCGTTTTCATCTTCACGCTCTAAGAATGTTTTGGAAAATAACATAATAAAAATATGTTACTTCTGGGGGCGAAGAAGCAAGGATAAACTGAATGGAAAGCTCCTGTGTGTGACTTATGACGTTGTGGTAATTCTGACTAACTACCTATAACTAATTAAAACGACTAAAAAAATGTTAAAATTTACTTAATCGAACTGTGTACCAGAACTGTTCTTGGAGGGAGGATGACGAAGGGAAGGGAATATATACAGCAGTTGAAATTAGCATTTTCAACAATCTTTATTGTTAAGTTTTATTGACACAAGACTTGCTTTAATATAATTCATGACAATACCTACCACTGTAATTAACTATTCACTAGTGCATCACTAATTATTTTTACGCAGACCAATTTAAAAGATACGCCTAATATAAGCCCACACACATATGAGTAATTTTTTTTTAATAAAGATTGTCTGCATTTTGTTTTTTTTATGCTTTGAATATAGTTTTAATTTAACTTTCAATTATGTTTCTTGTATTTAAAAAAATCATTTTTCGAGTGTTTTTTTTTAAGTTGTTTCTCTTATTTAATAAAAAAAAATTACAGTCCCAATATTTTTGTAGTAACGGTTCTTCTTATTCATCATTGTTTAAACATGAATTACACATTTGTTTATTCTTTTTAAACCCCGTAGATCTAATATTATTAAGATATTTTGTTTCTTCTTTATGAAACTAAAAAAAAAACATGTTGGGGGAGTAAATACGGATGAGACTAGTGCCGAATACACTATCCATTTGTATAAAATAATTACAGAAGAAGGTGAAATTGACTTCATCAGCGCATGGATCGATATTACCATACGTGTAACTTAAATGTTAAATATACATTAATTGTGCCAGCTTAATACATTTTAATTGTCCGTTTTTTCTTTAAAAAAATATTTTGTAAAAATTGATAAAACAAAATTAATTTAATGAATCATTTCTATAATATTAATTCCATATTTTTAAAGTATATTTAAAAGGTAGGCCCTACATCACATTAAAGCAGTAAAGAAGATAATAATTATAGCATCAAATATAAAGCACAATAAAAATGACTAGTTAGCAGTGGAAAGGATATTTTTTTTAATACAACAAAAAGGAAGTACAAAACATTAATAATAATATATATTCATGATTAAAATGTGTTAACACTACAAATATTTCAGTTATATAATATTATCGTTACATTAATAGATGGGGTTGTCACACGAGTCCTGTAATTATATAATCAAATATAAAGAACAATAAAAATAACTAGTTAAGAGAGGAAAGTTTATTTTTTTTCAATACACATCAAAGGAAGTACAAAAGAATTAAAGTAAAAGTAAGACACTCAACATAATTATACTAATGTAAAATGTGAAACAATACGACAAATATTTTAGTTAAATAATATTATCGTTATATTAATAGATGGAGTTGTCACACAAACCAATGGTCAAACCAAAACAATCATACAGGGCTTCGTGCCAGGGGTGAAGTGAAGGACAGAGCAAGCACGCAATGGAGGGATGACATCAACGTTTGGACTAGTCCGTTAAAGAACTTCCCAGTGCACCAGAGTGTCAGGACAGATGGCAAAAACAACTAAAAGAAACCATCGACCCAAGGGGATAAGGGATGACTAATTTTTTTGATTCCTTTCTATTTGTGTGTGTGTAAAATTTAACAACAACAGCGATCGTCAAAATAAGACACAAAATAAATGGAATGAGTACATTGACAAGAACATTGAAAGAAAAGAAAATATAAGCATTACATTTTTGTTGAAAATAATAACAAGGTTCGACTAAGAAAGAAATCATAAATGTTACACCACTGACAGTGCATAGAAATATTATACTTCGTCGATACGTCATGATGATTAATTTTCTCAATGGGAACCAAACCGCTATGAATCGTACTAAACAAATCAATACCGTTATCCAGCATGAAAAAAATGAAAAAAAAACAAATGGCAAACATAAATAAACGCATCGAAAATCCAATTCAACTTTAGGTAATCGCTGAAAAAAAGGGCAATAACCGTAGTAGAAGTTTAAAGATCAGGGCCATCCCGTCAGAGCCAGCAAGAGCCAACACAAACAAGGTCCCTGGGTTTTTGGCTCTTAGAGTCCATAAAGTGACGATGATCAAAATGTTGCCAGGTACACCGATGGAAGTAAGGACGATGGCGGAGGTGTTTAACATTTCATCAAAGAACCTGTCAGTATTGTGATCTCTGTATAAAGGGAGATGTGATTTATGGTTTCATTGCTTAGAATTTGGCATCATAAATAGAGTTTTTCACAGCTAAATTATTTTAGAATGCAATATATGAAACAATCTTGATGTATGGTAGTATAATCTGAATGGAAGTAGATTCCATTAACTTAAAAAGACTGGTGAAAAGACTTAATAATAACTTAATGATTTAATTACAATTTAATATTTGTTCGTAAAATTTGGTATTATTTATGTATGCACAAGGTAGGTTATATTGATCAAAAATTGTAATTCCTTCTTTATAAAACATATTACAATTAAGGTTATTTATCAACCTGATAAATAAGAAATTAATATATATTATGTACTAATCACTGTATTGATTTTCTTTTATTCTAAGGTAGTATGATGCAAATTTGATTACTAAATTAATTATATAATATTAATTTATACAAAAATATGTAAACTACTCTCTGCAATATAAAATTGATATTTAAGATAGCTTTATATAGCTTATATTTTTTATATAACTGTTCATAAAACAATAACATAAAAAGTAATTGTGTAATCTCATTTGTTTACAATCACTATCTTGATTATTTTAAAGTAAATTAAAACAATTAAAAATATATTGTTAAATAAAAAAACGCAAATTTATTCTGATTACTGCATGAACGCAATGTTCTTTGCACATCTTCATGTTTTTACTTTACTTTATTTAAAGTTGCTGAAAATAATAGGTAAACAAACAAGAAATTAAAAAAAATAACTTCTGTTTAAAAAAATCTTCGAAGCAGCACATCTGATGTTGGTCTTTCTGAGGGATCTAAAAGAAATGTTTGTCCAAGTATTTCTCTTAATGCTTTTGACGTATTATTGGGCAGATCATACACTGGTCCTTTCTTTTCTGCATACCAAAAAACAACACGTGCCTCTGAAAATCCGGGAAATGGTGGTCTTCCTGTAGCCATTTCAACAACTGTACAGCCAACACTCCTTAAAGAAAAAAATATAGGAATAATGTTATTTGTATATACACATATATAATGGTTACTTCGTTGTAAAAAAAGTAAAACTCATCAATTATGTGTTAAGAATAAATTTAATATTTAAATGTTGATAACTATTCTTTAGTCAGTATTTTAATTTCATACATTATTTGAATGTGAATCAACATTTATTTGGGTAATGCAAGCTATAATACTATTTGAATGTTTTAAAGAAAACTTAATAAAAAAAAACTATATTCATAGAAGCACTCAAAATTACGTATTAGTTTACCTTTGTGAAATACATAAATTATGCTGTATATTAATAATCTAGATAAATTAACTGTCTTATACTCACTTAAACTATCATATAAAAATTCAAATAATTACCAAATGTCAGCTTTTATAGTGTAAGTTGCATTGTTTTCATCAATTAAAATAACCTCAGGCGCCATGAAGTTATGTGTGCCTAATTGTGTTCGTGGGGCAGTTGAATTTAGTATTTTTGAAATCCCAAAATCCGCCAGCTTCACTGTGTTTTCATCTTTAAGTAGTATGTTCTGTCCTGAATTGTATAAATTATATATATATATATATATATATATATATATATATATATATATATATATATATATATATATATATATATATATATATATATATATAGGCCTACATGGTGACAGGACAAATTATCTAAGGACAAATTATCTCCCGGACAAAAGATACCCGGACATAATATATCTTGACAAATAATATAATGGACAAACGATCTCAGACAAAATATCTCAGACACAAAATCTCACAAAAAAATTGTAATAGTGTGTAAGCTGATTTTAGTTGTTTTGAACTTTTTTTTTTTTGGATTGTCAAAATGGTTTGTCTACTTTTTGCGCATAATAATTGTGAATAAAATGAATTTGTTAAACTTAACAAAGAATCTAAAGATTTATTTAACTTAGTTTTTATAATAGCATTTGATTTGAAAAAGTAGAAATTAAAACAAACGTACTCCTGTAACCTGAAAGGTATAATATTTAAAAATTCAAACAAATAATTTGTGTGCATTGTCTTTACCTTTAATATCTCTATGGATAATCTGGGGATCAAAATTATGAAGATATGAAACTGCTTCAAGTATTTGCTTGGTATATGGAAAAATTTGGGTTTCATTAAGTTTGCCTTTTTCCTTTACATACCCCGACAAAGAGCCCTGAAATATAATTATTTACACAAAATAGACGTACGGCTAGCAATATATGTTCATCTTTTCTATTGTACTGTATATTAAATTCGGTTAAAAATAAACACATAGGAGCCTAAATATAAATATAAATACATAAGTCATATATATATATATATATATATATATATATATATATATATATATATACATATACATATATATATATGTGTGTGTGTGTGTGTGTGTGTGTTAGAAATAACAAATCTGAGCTGTTGTTGGTTGTATCGATTCCAAAATAAAATGATAAACTTCATTTAATTTAAACAGAAAAGCCCAGTAAGTGTATTGGTGTTTTATTACGAACATGTATAAAAACTTTGTACTCCCACAGTTATTTTTTTTTTTTAAATATTACTTACTAGCGGCATATATTCGAAAAATAAATTCAGTTTACTGTCTTTTATTTCATATCCAAAAAACTGTATAATGCTTTTGTGCTGCAACTTGAGTGTTACAATGACCTCTGTAAAATCTTTTGACTGTACAGATACATAAGTCATTTAGAAACATGCATACAATTGTTTAAAAATAGTGCAATTATTACAAACACAACAACCGATTATAATTAGGTGTGTAGTAATGGCGGTAAGGTAGGAATAGTTCAGGAAAAAAAGAGCAAGGAATAATTATGATTGATGATCATAAATTAGAAACGAAAGTGGGTTTGATCACCCACGATCTTTTTCGTTAATTATGCTTTAACATTAAGGTCTTGGCTGGCACTTCCAGGACAATCGGGCTATCGCTATCACCATCATCATCACCTTTACCATCACCATTACGATCACCATCACCGTCACCATCATCAACACCAACACCATCACCACCACCATCACCTTACCCATACCCATACCCATACCCATACCCATGACTAAAAACTCGTGAAGGCAAATAAATGCCTACACTATCCATTGTCTGTCCTTTGCTTTTATTTATCGTCATGGCAAAAGCAAGTCTCAATGGAAACTGTTTCCTTTTTAACGTGAAGGGAAGGTTGGAGTCACTGGGTGAAAGAATAACTCTTGGTATGAACACTCTCGAACCTTTAAGCGACCCGATCATTATTTCGCAGTCTATGACCTTTGACATTAGCTGCTTGACGACCATTCTTGTGCCATTGCAAAGGCCTCTGGAGGAATCAAGGTTTCTGAGCAACATAACAACCGACCCAACTTTCAAATTAAGTCTATAAGGTGGTATACCTCCAGGTGTTAGACTGTGCAAAACTCCAATGTATAGTTTGCTGCCTCCTCTGCATTTGCACTGTCTTGCTGAAGAGAATCGATACTCTGATAGCATTTTAATTCCGATTGAACTTTTATTAGAATCATTTCATTTAGTTCGATATATTCCTGGTTTTTTGGTGTTAGGATGACCCGGTTAGCAATGCTTTCATCACCTGGTACGATGACCCTAGGAAAGACGGCATCTACAATACACCTGTTTTCGATGCAGACTGGTGGAACTTCAATGATGTCTTCCTCTAATTGCGGCTTTTGTAGTTTTCCATCACCAAGTTTTAAAGCTATTTTGAAAAATTCCGGGTTTGTAACAGATCGTTCTGGTCATTAGCACGCATGTTTTGGTCTAATTTTAAGAACTGAATGTGATTCCAACATTTGCTGTTCTTCATGCATTAGGAAACTATTTCAGTTCTACTGCCATGAGAACAACAGGGAGAATTTGTCGAAAATCGCCTTTGAATAGAAAAACAACACCTCCAAACGGTTTCCTAGGAGGAACGTGTGTGTTTTCAGCTAAAAGCTCTTTAAAAAGTGCGTCAACTGCATCAACTCCATATGCTGGGACCATTGAAGCTTCTTCTCAGATCATCGCTTTGGCCTTTTTAAGCTCGTTCGCCGTATTTGTCCCGTGTCGCACATTACATGTGGATGTTTCATTTATTGTACCAGGCAGCTTAAAACGGCTGTGTGATGTTATGCCTCCCTCAAGTAAAGTTGCTGCTAAGCCCGTAAAGGCACATGGCATTTTTGCTGCATACGTAATGCATGATTGTGTTGTATAGAAACGTTTTACCACTTCCTCCTGGTCCATCAATAAAGAAGAAACGGTTGGGTAAGTCAGGGTTTTCAATGGCTGTCCTGATTATGTCGAAAGCCTTTCTTTGTCTAGAGTTAAGCTTGCAAATGTTTTCTTCAAACAATGTCCCTTTAGTCACTAGATCAAATTTTGTCCCAGGATGAACAGGCTCTGCATTTCTGTCGGCTGGGAGTTCTAGGCAAAAATCTGCCAATGACTTTCTATAAGTCAGAAAGACAGATTCAATACCTTTCAGTGTTAAAAATAAAGCTCGATCTCCAGCAGGAAATTGTCTTTAAAAATCTTCTATCAGTGATTTTGAATGTCTGTCAATAATGCTGCTGCATCTGAAGGCTCACACATGAGAAAAATAAAAGCAAACACTGGCATATGATGGATTGCAGCTTCTGTTAGGCATGCATCCCATTTGGAGTCAACATCGGTCAAACCCCTTGCAATGCATGCTTCCTGTAAGGTTGCAAATGGGGTAGGATTTCTTTCAACCTTTCTGAGGTCAGTGTAAGATGTGGCACCTTTAACATTGAGAAGAAGAATACGGAGAAACCATTTTTTTCTCTATCTGTGGCACTTACTAAATACACTCTTCCAGTTGTTTTTTCGTGTCCCCTAAGACGCGGTTTCCATTTGGATTTTTTGTAATCCCAGGTATAGTTGTATAGTGTTTGGGGATTTCAATATATAAATAATCTCGGGCATTTGGATCTTCCTAATTGAGCTTAAACCAAGCCAGAAGCTTGGACTTTGTGGCTTTCTGTTGCACAGCTTTAGCCTCCTAGCCTGGAATAAAACATATTGATTGTTTGTCCTCAAGGTGGACATTTAACCTTTCCACATGATGAGTTTGGTGGTGCATTTTGTATTCCCTGAGCCTCCAACATGCTTCAGCTGTATATCTCTACATTTAAGTGGGCTTTATATTTTAGAGTCAGTTATGGGTTGTATGGCACCACCCATCTGGTGTCCAATTTGTTTCCACCACTTTCAACAAAATGTTCATTGTCACGGCGTTGATATTGCGGATACCCACTGATATTGCTTTTGGTCTCTGCACAGAAAGCTTTTGGGTATTCTTTGCTGCATTTTCCATTTTCCATGCATGTTGATTTTGGATTTAGCGGACCACATGGGCCGATGTATCATACTGGTTTCCACTATTTCGTGTAGACGTGGGTGTGAAGCTTTATCTGGGATTCCTGCACTCTTTCTTTTTCCCAGGCTTTGTCTTCCGGCACCATAAACATCAGTATGTGCGCGTGTGGTAGACCCCGTTTCTAAAATTCGATAACGTAAAGCAGGGGTCTCCAAACTACGGCCCGCGAGTCGGATGCGGCCCGCAAGGTCCTCTCATCCAGCCCGCGGAGATCTTTTTGTCCACGGAAAAATGTCTGTTACAGGTGGCTGATGAGCTTTGCCCAGAAAAATCAAAACAATTTGAAAATGTAGCGTTGGGTCAAATACCTTTGCCCACCCTTTTGCAGACATTGGTGAAAACATCGTGATTATATATAATAGCGAAAAATGCAAGCAAGTTTCACAAATTTTAAATTGCAATAGATGAATCGCTGGACAGCTGTTTCACCTCTCAACTGCTTGTGTTCATAAGAGGTGTGGATGAAGACATGAACATAACACAAGAGCTGGCTTCCCTACATAACATATATGGCACTGTTACCGGAGAGGATATATTCATTGAATTAAAGAAAACATTTGCTGATTGTAACTTGGACTGGACTAACCTCAGTTACCTGACTGTTGATGGGGAAAAGTAAGTTAGTGGCACAAAGAAAGGATTGATTGGACAAGCGAATGAGAAAAATATTCGACAACCAATGTTCCTGTACTCTATTATTCATCAGCAAGCTTTGTGTGCTAAATATATGGACATTACCAGTGTGCTGAATCCTGAGGTGAAGATGGCGAATTTAATAAGGTCACATGGACTCAACATAGATATAGAAAATAGAATACGTGAAGAATAATTTGAGAGCAAACTTGGAACTCGAGTGTTTCTTTCAGATTTTTCGCTGGGGGGGGGGGGGGCACTTGAAATTTGTATATATTTCTATATAAATTAAATTTTGTTGGGGGGGGGGGGGGGCTTGAAGAAGATATGCCTTGAAGAAACTCTGGCCCCCAAACTGATATTTGATTGTCAATGCGGCCCTCGGGCTGAAAAGTTTGGAGACCCCTGACGTAAAGCATTGCTCTAACACGTCCAAATTTATGGAATTTAGTTAAATCATTCAGCAGCTATTTCAGTTTAATTACGAAAACTCTAGCTACCAAATCAGGCCTATCACATGGCTGCTTGCCTGCTAGTAAATTTTCCTTTATTTCTCTCCATTTGGGGTTGCAGGTTACTGTCACAAACAAATCAGGTTTATCAATTTTTCTTACAATGGCCATAGCATCCTGATAGTTCTGGGTCATAGTTTTGGGACTGCCTTGAAACGTTGAAGGCAGAATGATTTTTTTTTCCTGGAAATCTGGTAACATCATCCTGGTTCTGGTTGTTGACAAATCGGTGAAGCACATCGTATACGGCCCTGAGCATTTCATTTTTTTCAAAAGTCATCAAGTTATTACATTCCCGTGATAACGGGTTTATTTCACACAAAAAGGTTTTGGAGATTCACCATAACTTCAATCATACATCTATTGTTTGCAGGATTAGACATTCTCTCTTTTAAAGCTTGAGCCGATTCCAAAATATACTATTGGAAAAATTTTGGTGATTCGCCTTCACATGGGTATAGTGCAGATGTAGCGTGGTATTTTTGCCCATGGATTCTGTAGCAATACGGACCTGAACGTCTAGTCAATTCTTCATCCACTTGTGCTCCCATCGAGACAAAGGCTATTGCACTATTGTACGATCTGATGTTTTCCATACAATTTTTCCAATTGGGATCCGATCCACTCATACAATTTGAAATGTAAGGGTGCATTTTTATTTTTGGTAATAAATGGTCCCTTTATGGACCATTGCAAAAACACTTTTTCCGAACGACCCCCCCCCCCCTTGATGTTTTGTAAGGTGATAGGAGAACGCCGGAAGTGTCATAAAAAACTCGGCATATCTGGAAAAACTTCGTAAATTTGTAAAAACTGAGAAGACGTGTTTACATATATAATCTTTGTATTTTATGAGAAAAACATATGGTCATTTCAACACGGATTTTAGGGCACTTATATTCTTCACATCTGGCTAATTTTTTTGTATGCTCCGGTGACCTACTTATGTCTAATTTTTTATAGTTTAATTGTATTAATATTAAAATGGCCTTGAGCTATCTCTTGTTAGACTAAAAATTTTCCATCACACTCATGTAATAGTATTCACAACTGAGTTCGTTTTTCTCGTGTTTATCTCCACCCCCAATGGTCCTTCACATTGATGTCAACATCCCATAATTTTAGGTTGATATAAAAAGGATTAATTTTCCACACACGAGAGAGCGCACACGACATCCTGAGAGAAGCCTGGCCCATATTAGTTTCAATTTATATTTAACCCTAGACATTAGATTTCGAATCTACGAAGATATTTTTGTTTCTAGTAATCTTTTATAGTTTCGTATAATTAATCAGTCTAGAACCACCCTAAAAGAATCCGGGTGTTACGTGATATTTACAACTTGTAGAGTTACATAATACTCCTAGGTAAATGGCTAGGTCGAGCTGAACAACAGTCGATTTGACTCAAAGCCGTCGACGAGGGCTAAAAAATTACCGCGAGTGAAATTCTCTTTTTTATAAGATATATATATATATATATACATTGGTGAACAACCCCCCTAATACTTTGTGGGGTCGTAGACTGACACTAGAGGGTAACATAAAATTTCAATCTCGTCGGAAAAACAACCTTTTACTGTCGTTAGATGTGTCCAGCTACTGTATTATCTTATATAAACAATTGTTTGTGAAAAGGTAAACAAACTACGCCATTTGGTTTTTGTACATCGGAGGTAACTTATTACAGCAATATTTTAAAAGTAATTTTTATACTATTTTAAAGAAAAAACAAAAAATTACAAAAATTACAAAGTAAACCATTCAATAAAATAGATATGTCGTTATCATTTATAGCATATATTGTACTGAAATTGTAAAAGTAATCGCGATAATAAATGTATTATATTTTTTAAAATTTTATACATTTAAGGAAGCCTTAGCAGTTCTAATAACCTTGCGAGTAATACGTTTGTAATAACTCCATTTGCATGACATGTAATTACTCAATACTCTTTAAACTTAAGCCTCAACCACTCCACATAATACCTAATCACCAATTAATTAATCATTCAAATTCTCAATTTCTTTATTTTAAATCCTAAGCAAAGCTAGGCAGTATGAATAGTAAATTATAATTTAAAAAGTGCATATTTTTGTATTCCATCTAACGCCAGTGGAAATATATATTTTTTTTATTTACTTACTATATTTTTGTCAGTGAGAAAAACTTCTTTGACTACAAGCTTTGTATCAGATACGAGATCTTCACTGTCCACCATATGGACCATTCCAAACGCGCCTTGTCCAATACACGTGTGACTTTTCTTCCAGTTTTTTGGCACATACGGTGATAGATATTTATCTGTAAGTAGTAAAAAAAAAAGTATGTGTATGCTTATGACACATGATTAAATTTAACGAGTAAGCCCTATAAATGTATAATTTTTTTGGGTTGTCTTTTATTAGTGTGGTTTCTCATCATAATTTAATTGATATATTCAAATTCGATAAAATGATATTGCGTATACACGAATCTACAATGAAATTTTTTATTTCACTTACCTAAACTTGAAGTCAAACACAGAGAAGACTTATTTACGTGCCATAATATACAAGAAATAATAGTTTGAGATTTAAAAGCATATTGTGATTTTCGTGTTTCAAGTATTTCAATTAGTGATACATTTCTTTTTAATATAAGTGGATCGTCATCCGCTATTTTTTGTAGAAGACGAAGAGCGTTTTCTACATATATATGATTGTTATTGTTAATAATTTTGATACAGGCAAGCATCAATGCAGTACATCCTGTTTCTGTAATAGAATTCAGATTACACCCTCTTTCAATTAACAGTTGCACAGTTTTTACATTTTCATTTTTGGAGGCTAGCATCAATGCATTATGTCCTTTTCTTGTAACAATATTTACATCACATCCGCTTCGAATCAACGTCTCTATTGCCTCTTTAAAACCATGCTGTGAGGCTAGCATTAATGCAGTATATCCGTTTTCGTTAACATTGTTAACAGCACATCCGCTTCGAATTAACGTCGAAATTGATTTTTTATCACCTCTCACAGTGGCTAGCATCAATGCAGTAAATCCTGTGTTGTCAGCAGCATTTAGATTACATTTCCTTTCAATTAACAGCTCAATTGTTTTTTCATATCCAAGCTCAATGGCTACCATTAGTGTAGTCCGTCCGTCTTTGCCAACAATATTCACATCACATCCATTTCGAATTAACGTCTCCATCGCTTTTTCATGCTTATTTTCTGAGGCTTGCATCAATGCCGTAGATCCATCTGCTGTAACCTTATTAACATCACATCCACTTCTAATTAACATCTCAATCACCTTTGCATGCCCTTCCTTTGAGGCTCGCATCAGTGCATTATGTCCTTCTCTGTTAACAATATTCACATCACATCCGCTTCGAATTAACTTCTCAATTGTTTTTTCATCACCACTTTCAATTGCTAGCATCAATGCAGTATATCCTATGTTGCCACCAACATCTAGATTACACCCTCTATCAATTAACAGCCCAATTGCTATTTCATATCCACGCCAAGAGGCATACATTAGTGGAGACCATCCGTTTTTGTCAACAATATTCACATCACATCCGCTTCGAATTAACGTTTCCGTCGCTTTTTCGTGACGATTCTCTAAGGCTAGCATCAATGCAGTAGATCCATGTGCTGCAACCTGATTAACATCACTTCCGCTTCTAACTAACATCTCTATTGCCTTCTCATGCCCATTCTCTGAGGCTAGCATCAATGCAGTATATCCATTTGATGTAACCTTATTAACATCACATCCACTTCTAATTAACATCTCAATCACTTTTGTATGCCCCTTCTCTGAGGCTAGCATCAATGCAGTAGATCCATCTGCTTTTACTTTATTAACATCACATCCGCTTCTAATTAACCTCTCAATCACCTTTTCATATCCATTCTCTGAGGCTAGCATCAATGCAGTATGTCCTGTGTAGTCACCAGCATCTAGATTACACCCTCTTTGAATCAAGAGCTCAAATGCTATTTCATAGTTACACATAATGGCTACCATTAGTGGAGTACCACTGTTTTTGGCAACGATGTTCACATCACATCCGCTTCGAATTAACTTTTCCATCGCTTCTGGATTATTCTGCGAGGCTAGCGTTAATGCAGTAGATCCATCTGCTGCAACCTTATTAACATCACTTCCACTCCTAATTAACATCTCAATCACCTTTCCATGCCCTTTGTTTGAGGCTAGCATCAATGCATTATGACCTTTTCTGTTAACCATATTCACATCACATCCGCTTCGAATTAACATCTCAATCACCTTTTCATGCCCTTTTTTTGAGGCTAGCATCAATGCAGTATATCCTTTGTTGTCACCAGCATTAAGATTACATCCTCTTTCAATTAACAGCTTAATTGTTATTTCATATCCATGTCTAGAGGCAAACAATAGTGGATTGCATCCGTCTTCGCTAACAATATTCACATTACATCCGCTTCGAATTAACGTCTCTATCGCTTTTTCGTGACAATTCTTTGAGGCTAGCATCAATGCAGTATATCCATATGATGTAATCTTATTAACATCACATCCGCTTCTAATTAACACCTCAATCACCTTATCATGACCTTTCTTTGAGGCTAGCATCAATGCAGTATATCCATCTGCTGCAACCTTATTAACATCACATCCGCTTCTAATTAACACCTCAATCACCTTATCATGACCTTTCTTTGAGGCTAGCATCAATGCAGAGTATCCATCTGCTGCAACCTTATTAACATCACATCCGCTTCTAATTAACATCTCAATCACCTTTTCATGTCCATACTCTGATGCTAGCATCAATGCAGTATTTCCACAATAGTCCCTAGCATTTAGATTACGCCCCCTTTCAATTAACAGCTCAATTGCTCTTTCATATCCATGCAGAGAGGCAGATATTAGTGAATTCGATAAGAATGTGTCAAAAATATCCACATCACATCCACTTTTAATTAACATCTCCATCGCTTTTTCTTGCTTATACTCTAAGGCTATCGAGAATGCAGTATATCTATTTTTTGCAACCTTATTAACATCACATCCGCTTCTAATTAACACCTCAATCACCTTATCATGCTTCTCTTTTGTGGCTAGCATCAATGCAGTATAACCTGTGTTGTCACAAGCATTTAGATTACATCCTCTTTCAATTAACAGCTTAATTGCTAATTCAAATTCATACGAAGAGGCATACATTAGTGGAGTCCGTCCGTCTTTGTCAACAACATTCACATCACTTCCGCTTTGAATTAACGTCTCCATCACTTTTTCATGACCATGCCTAGAGGCTATCATCAATGCAGTAGATCCAAGTGCTGTAACCTTATTAACAACACATCCGCTTCTAATTAACATCTCAATCACCTTTTCATGCCCCTTCTCTGAGGCTAGCATCAATGCAGTATATCCTGTGTTGTCACAAGCATTTAGATTACATCCTCTTTCAATTAACAGCTTAATTGCTATTTCATCTCCATGTCTAGAGGCATACAATAGTGTCGACCATCCGTCTTTGTCAACAATATTCACATCACAGCCGCTTCGAATTAACGTTTCCGTCGCTTTTTCGTGACCATTCTCTGAGGCTAGCATCAATGCAGTAGATCCATCTGCTTTTACCTTATTTGCATCACACCCGCCTTGAATTAGCAGTTTTATAATTTGATCATGTCCATTGCTAGCGGCAAGCATTAATGCAGTCCACCCGTCTTTATGAACACTATTAACCTTACAGCCGCTTTGAACTAACATTTGTACAGCTGCATCATGTCCATTACTCGCAGCAAGCATTAATGCCGTCAATGTATTCATGTTAACAGCATTAAGATCACAACCACTCTGAATTAACAGTTCTAGTGCATTGACATGTCCCGTTTTAGCGGCAAGCATTAATGCCGTCCATCCAGCTTTTCCAATAATACTAACATCACATCCGCTTTCAGTTAACATTTCTATTGCTTTACTATATTCCATTCTAAAGGGCAATTATTAATTCTGATACATTAGCTTCAACATCTTTTAGAAGAGCAATGTTGTTTATTACGTAGAGTATAACTGCACGAAGAAGCTAGTCCAAATAAGAGAGCACAAACTGCAAACTGATCATCTTTGCTTGCCGTTGTTCGGAATCATTTATTTTGTTTTTTTTAAATTAAAATGCAGCCGTTGTCGCAGATGGTACTCTCTGTTTCTCTCTCTCTCTCTCTCTCTCTCTCTCTCTCTCTCTCTCTCACTCTATCTCATACTGTGATTCCATGCTCAAGCTTTAGCCCTTAAGTGAAGTGAGGCAGATTAATACATGGATAATTAAGAATCGAGCATTTTTAGTGCATCTTAGCAGTCACTACTCTCGCAGTTTTAGTCAGACTTTTGCTTTGGTTTGTGGGAGATCACTATGTGGACATTATGGTCTCGAGCCAGCACTTCTTTTATTCTAGGTAAAACATTTTAAAAGGATATATAATAAATGTATACGAGTAAAAAATGTTAAGCGCTAGATTACATTATTATTAAGAAATTGATGTAGTAAAAATGGAACTCCAACAATTGGTGAAATGAAAAAAAATCACAATGATTTACGTATGGGAATCATAGTCTATCACATAATATAGGAAGGACATCCTATCTCACTAAGTAAAATGTCATATTAAACATGTAGCCTATGCATACGTTTAGTTATAACAATCTCAAACGTAAAAAAACCCATTAATTTTAAATAGTTCTATCACTATTTAGTGTAACTTTATTAAAAGTAGTTTTAATCATAACAGATACTAGAAATTAAAAAAAAACAACAATACATACAATTAAGTGACATCGAGATTACACTCTAGAAATATATTTTATCTAACACTAAATATGTGAACTAGATGTTTTATAAATTTGTATGTAACAATCAAATACATTTTTTGTTGTTTTCGTATTGTCAATATCGATATTTCAAAGCTGATTATTGCAAAGCTTGATATCTAATACCAAAGTCACTATTGCGACACGGTGGCTCGGCTCATGTATAAACTTGAACACACTTGAAGGGGTGCCACCGCTAAAAACGCTTGCGAACTTGGTCCATATCTCCTGATTATACGTTACTCTCCAGACGAAACCAACCATGCATGACTTTTATATTGATTTTAGACTAGCTTGTTATTGATACTAGTTTGACTTTGATGTGTAACAGAAATCATTAGGTCTAATAAAAAGATTATAAAAATGTATTAACCCATATTATCCCAAGGTCTCAAATTTTAATAATTTTTTGATGTGGTTTAGCTTTTGGGCACTGAATGAAGGAATGACTATGGATTTTTTTAAAAATCAATACTTTACTTTTTAAAATATCGATTTTTTAAAAAACGTCCCATAAATGGGACGCTAGCAACGAACGGCCCCATGTACATTTATTGAAAAAAAAATCATTTATCACGAAATATGGCTAATCACGCGAAAATTAAGCTGTATACTGATTTTGTATTGTTAGACCAATGATTACATTGTTTAGGACAGCTAAAAATAATGATAATGAGCAATTGGGTTAGCCATACCATGGTCTAAAATGCAAAAATTTAGTTCAAAAGTCTAGTTTTCTTTCAATCTAGCATCCATCAAAGTGAACAACACTTGGAAATAAGTAAAGCTGTGACTAGAACATCTAATTATACACACATGATCATAAATATTGTTATTATTCATCGAAACTGTAATATAATTAAATATAAATAATTGATTTTTTGGGGGGCGTACTTGAAATTTTCAGGGGGGGGGGGGGACTTAAATTTCAGGGGAAGGGTGGACATTGGTAAAAGCATGTTTTGTATATAAATTCCATTTTGTTCTGGGGGCAGAACCCCCCCCCCCTCTCCGAAATGATGCCTGAAAGAAACTCTACCCTCAGTGAATTTGCAAAAGACCATCCGGTCCAGTCCCAGATGTCATCTAGCCATCTTCTCTTTTGTTACCCTCGCTATTCCCCCCCCCCCCCGCCCCCTCACAGGCGTACATTAGGACATCAGACATTATGTCTAGGGCACTGATCTGTTTCTGGGGGCTTGTGTTGAGTGTTCATAGTTCATGGCTCTCATCCATGTATGCACCTCACTATGCGAACAGCTCCCAATCTAACACCAGGAATCTCCTTAAAAAATTAACAAAGTAAAACTGGTATCGGGAACCTTTGGATGGGAATATTATTGGGGCATGACACTAGTACACAGCTAATTCACATTTCTGCTATATGTTGCTTGAGCTCTTATATGAAGAGAGTTAACCAACCCCCTTGACTGAATCATTTCACCTCAATAGTGGCCATTGTTATTATTCTGGTTTGTTATGATTTTAATATCACGCGCTAGTAAATTTACAGCAATACTAAATTAGTTTGTATTCAATGGTATTAAATACTTCAGTAAGCGTAATTCTGAAAACTTAAAAATAAAATGTAAGTTTTTCAATATTTGCAATTTTTTAATACAATAATATATAAGAAAATATAGCTCAAGGTCATAATTAAATCTATAAATACTACTTAACACCCTAAAGTCAACCGTAAAACAAAGTCAACAATTGTTTCACCATAATTAACCATTTAACATAAATATTTGCATCTATGTTTCTCGCTAGTGTCCAATAAATGTGACGTTTGTGTAACAATCTGCATAAATATAGGTCAAGGTCATAATTAAATATCTATAAATATTACTTAACACCCCAAAGTCAGCAGTTAACATAGTCAACAATTGTTTCACCATAAATAACCATTTAACATAAACATTTGCATATGTGTTTCTCGCTAGTGTCAAATAAATGTGACGTTTGTGTAACAATCTACATGGGGCCATTCGTTGCTAGCGTCCCACTTATGGGACGCTTGTTGTACACTTGATATAACGAAGTAGTAAAAAAAAAATGTTATTCTTAAATTTTTATCAGATAGAAATATGGTACTGCTACAAGTTTCAAATTTGCACTTAAAATGTTAATATTTTAGAAGATATGCATTTTCCTGTGCGCATGTTTTCTTTTTTCCGCCATTTTGACAAGTCCTGCAAATCCGGCATTATAACATTTTTCTAAAGTAATTTTTTTCACAAAACACACACAAATTCAATAGTCTAACCATTTTCAAATACAATGAAACATAATTTGTGTTTTAACTAGTTTTTAACAAATTTTAGCAATTTTTTTACAAGCATCCCATAAGTGGGACGCTAGCAGAATATGGGTTAAAAATTTTGTATGGGTATGATTTTGTGAATAAATCGTGGTGCTATTATACAAAGATTACATGGAATTATGACCTGCTATGAAAGAAAGCGATGTTTAATGTAGATTCATGCTGCTGTGAAGACACAGTAAGTGTAGTATAAGTCTCGGTCGTTAAAGTTTTATGGAGACTGTTCTAAGGGTACTGAACATTTTCTTTTACGTGACTGAAGAAAGACTAGGTATAAAATGCTGGTAGATGATTATTATAATGTCTGACCTAAGACTTTGAAGAAGAAAACACTGATAAAGAAAATTAAAAGGAAAAAGCACTCTTTATGTGACTCAATATTTAAAAATAATTGTATCAAATATATACTCATGAATAAAGCTTGGGACTGAATACAGTCTTAAAAGGGAGAATTGCTTATAATGAAGAATGTATTTGAAAAATTAAAGTGAATACGTATAATGGTCGTTAATTTCATATGCTGAAAATGGTAGAAATGTATTCTTTTGTTATACATTTATTTTCAAATAAACATACTAGTAAACTGCCGTGTTATTGCGCATATATCGTTTATTTTAATTATACAAATCTACACACACAATTAATTATTTCAAAAGAAATGATTATCGTGTGATTATTCATCAGAAAGAACAATATAAACACTTCTTGATTTTTCAAAACATGCTCAAACTTAATACTAATGTTACATTTTACTAAATAACTTAGTTTTTAATAAATATCTAATTAATGAAGCATATTATTTTCGAGATAAAAACAAATCCAACACACGCCATGAACTGCATAGAATTTCACAATCTCTCGATATGAAAACACATGTAGGTAAACATTTTATACATATTTCCAATAATAAAAACTTTCGGAAAGTTCTTCACATTAGTGTTTGCAATATGTTTCGCATAACTTGTGTGTCTTCATTCAATTGTGCGATTGTGTGCTACTTACAACGCTACTTCGTGTAACCTAAGTAGGCCAACATCTAGCGTTGAGTGTTTCAACCGTATCTATTTATTTCGCGTGGCCCAGGCCGTTTGTCACCGTTCAACGCACAAACTGTCTATCATTCTATAAGGTAGCATATAGTTAGGGGTCATCCATTTATGACGTCCACACGCGGGGGGGGGTCTGAAAAAACTGACTTTTGTGAACGCATATGGAGTTGTATAAGGAAACAAAAAGTGGATTTTTGTGGAGGGGGGGGGGGGGGTCCAAAATCCAAAAAAAGGACGTCATAAATGGATGACCCTTTATATTTAATGCGCTTGATGGTCAAGCGGAAAAGATAAAGATACTGTTATAAATGGTCAAACTGAGTAATACATTTAATAATGTTTTAGATCCAATAGTGCATGAGGCACATACATGTTTAAATAATTTTTTTACTATGTATAGTTATGCTTGTCTATATGTATATGTGTCTCTCTGTCAGTTTGTCCTCCTGTCCGTCTTCTCTTGTGTATCAGTTTTAACAAATATAATTTCCCCCCTCGACCATAGTGTAAATGCACTTTTCCCCCACTTTTTTTACTTTTTACGGTACGGTACGGTACAGTACAGTACGGTACGGTACAGTACGGTACAGTACAGTACAGTACAGTACAGTACAGTACAGTACAGTACAGTACAGTACAGTACAGTACAGTACAGTACAGTACAGTACAGTACAGTACAGTACAGTACAGTACAGTACAGTACAGTACAGTACAGTACAGTACAGTACAGTACAGTACAGTACAGTACAGTACAGTACAGTACAGTACAGTACAGTACAGTACAGTACAGTACAGTACAGTACAGTACAGTACAGTACAGTACAGTACAGTACAGTACAGTACAGTACAGTACAGTACAGTACAGTACAGTACAGTACAGTACAGTACAGTACAGTACAGTACAGTACAGTACAGTACAGTACAGTACAGTACAGTACAGTACAGTACAGTACAGTACAGTACAGTACAGTACAGTACAGTACAGTACAGTACAGTACAGTACAGTACAGTACAGTACAGTACAGTACAGTACAGTACAGTACAGTACAGTACAGTACAGTACAGTACAGTACAGTACAGTACAGTACAGTACAGTACAGTACAGTACAGTACAGTACAGTACAGTACAGTACAAGAAAAGAAAAGAAAAGAAAAGAAAAGAAAAGAAAAGAAAAGAAAAGAAAAGAAAGGAAAGGAAAGGAAAAGAAAGGATAGGAACAGAAAGGATAGGAAAAGAAAGGATAGGAAAAGAAAATATAGGAAAAGAAAGGATAGGATAAACGCTATACTAACATTATTTAATGCAATTTTTTTCCCCGAATCACTATTTTCATGGATAGTTTTAAACACATGCATTCAGACTTACCCTTAAGTTCTCCAAATAATCTGAAATATAATTTAAGAAGACTATTGATGTTTAAACTAGTCTTACACAAAAGAGCACCATATTGGTATAAACCAGGGGTCTCCAAACTACGGCCCGCGGGCCGGATGCGGCCCGCGAAGTCCTCTCATCCGGCCCGCGTAAATCTTTTTCTCCAAGGAAAAATCGTTTGAGGTGATGGCTGAAAAGTTTGCCCAGAAAAATCGTAGGCATACCTGGAAG